CCTTATTTGTTGAGTAGGAATACCGTGGTTGCCCAGAACCACAATTACCGTTTCTGTCTCGACGGTATCAAAGGCTTTCTTCAAATCGATGAACGTAAGGCACAACGGCATTTTGTACTATGCATTTTTTTCGCGATACTTCAATGACTCTTGTAAGAATGTGGATATGATCGGTTGTACTGGACCCTCTCCGTAACCCTGCCTGCTCGCATAACTGTCCTTCACCTAACATGCCGCCAATCCTTTTAGGATGACGCGTGTGAAAAGCAGGTATTTAGATCACAGACAGCAGGCAGATAAGGCGATTGTTGCCAATGTCGTCGGGATCTTACTTCTCGTACAACAACATAGTCTTGCCAGTTTTCCATGACGTGGAAGACTCTTCAGATTTTATGGTTCAGTCTTATCGTGACCGGGCGCTGTACAATCCTTTATCGACGTATGGCATGTCGATTTCGGAAGGGAGAACAGATGAAGCGATATACATATTTGTCTTGCCCGAGATGGTGAGTAGCAAGTAGACGTGGTTGTCGAAGAGATCCGAGTAGAAGTGTAGCACTCTTCTCAACTGCCTTCGAGATGCAGTAACTGTTCCGTCAGGACGACGAAGGGAAGTTGTATTGATCCTGTAAATGGCGAAACTCCGTCAGGCACTGTGAATGCATTTTCGCTTTCGTCCAAATCTGCTGCTCTTCTTTCTTTCAGATCTCCCTTTATGGTTTCTCTGCATAGCTTCAAACGTTTGTTGATGATTGCCTGCAGCTCGCAGGATTTTACGGTTGTACTCTTCATCGTTGTAGTCGCTAACGGAATCTTCCCTCACTCGCGCGGGAAGCGAAGTGGCCCGGATGGAGCTCATGGGATTTCGTTTCCTAAACTTCGTGGTTCTTTCACCACGCACTAAGAGGCAGAATCTAGCGCGGAGGAGACGAAGGTCCGATGCCGGTAGAACTCCGGAACGGCAGCGACGTCACTCAGGCAAAATTTCCGATTGAAGACGATGTGGTCTACTTCATTATGGAACTGTCCACCAGGTGACTCCCATGTCGATCGCGAATAAAAGGGCTTCGGAACTGCGAGTTACCATGGATGGCGCGGCTCGACATGATGAATTCGAACAGTCGGGCAGCTTTCCACTCTGCTTATTCCGTGAGTTCCGAAGTGGTTCAGCCGTTCTTCAGGGGTCAATCCTGGCGGTTAAATACCGGCGATGGCCTTGAAGAAAGTATGATCCGCTCTATAGGGCTTCTCCAGATCCACACAAAACGCTTCCAACTCCTCTTCTTCCTTGCTTGATGTTGGTGCGTAGGCAACGAGATTGTTAGAGCTGGAGATAAACCACATCTCCTTAATCGCAAACGGCCGATTCGGGTTGTTAAGGTTTCGTACGAACCCATGTTCATGACCAAGTGCGTGTTGACGAGAATACCTACGCCTCCGACGCCTCTACTGTCGCATGTTCCGGGAACTCTTCTTCGCGAGCCTCAAATACAGCGTAGAGCAGGTAATGCTTTCTCTTCTCGGTCATTCCGACTAAGACATATTTATTTTTATTGGCTCGCATCATCAGATCTTCTACACACGCTTCCGATGCAAGCGTGCGTAGGTTGAAAATACAGACCGCCATATTAGTCCCTCTCCTTTTGCGCTGCCTGTTTTGACCCGGATTTTTTAGCAGCCTCTCCTGAGCGGTCTTGCCCAACGCTGCTGTATTGGGGGACTCCGTCAGGTCCAGGGGAATGAGACCTATTTGTATTACTGTTTTTGGCAAGTAGGTACTCAACGGGTAGCCACGCTCTGACGTGGGACTGTGTTATTCAGGTTATCCCGAAGTGACGAGGAGCTGTGAATTTGGAGGCGAACCAGAGTCGCCTTTAAAAGCAAAACAATGTGAAAAAAAATTTATCACTATTCCCTTATTAAGTAGCACACTAAAACTGAGGTCTGTTGATTTCTGCTTTCACTCAACCCCGGTAAGGAACATAGAAGCACGCAGCTAGGATCAACGAATTGTGCCCGGCTTTTTGCAAGGCATCTTCGATATCACTTGAGTTCTTGCTTGGGCTAACGAAAGCTATCATTTCCAAGGTTGACCACACTGAGACATCAATGGGATTTGAGTCAGGGCTTCTGAGTGGCCAATGATCGAAGTTTATGAAGCCGGGAATCCCCTCCTATGAAATTCCTGGACAATTTATGATCTGATGTTACTTTATCTTGACATTATGTCAAGTTCGAATTCTAATTGCACACGGTGAGATCGAATAAGTCTCCGAATTAATTTTGACATCTAAGTTACAAAAAATAATCTGTTTCTGCCTCGGCGATGCTCGCAAAAACCATCACAGAAAGTCAGCGAGCCTAGTTCTGTATCTTTTCCAATCCTTTCATATTCACATAAATTCTGTCGCTCTGCCCATTGAGCATTTTTTCCACCGAGAATATCTTCTCACCGATGAGCAACAGTTCCCAATGACGAATCCTCGGAAACGGCGCAGCAGCTGCTGTGAGCCAACTTCTCTTTTCTCTTTAGCCTGCTCACTCGCGCGTAATCGTACATAGGCCTTGTTGCCCAGATGATGTTTCACGATTTTGCACAGAAAATTTCATGAGTTATCCATTTCTTAGGTCACCTTGTGAATGGAGTGATCTTCACTATTACGCAGAACTTCCCCCTGCTTCCTTGACAGTCCTCTTAAAAGTGACCATAGGCCTCTTATGCTTGCCCTCCAATCTGCTGTTGTTCCCGACTCTGGAAAGCGTCTTATGGTTGAGTACACCAGCGGATTTGTCACGCTGATTCTCATGGATATGTCCCGTGTCAAAAGTGCATGTAAATGCAGAGTGATAAATTACCTACTGAGAGCTTTATCGCAGAGTAGATCAATCACTTCTGAAACATATTTAACCCAGCTGAACAATTTGAAGGCAGCAGTAGAACATAAGCGTCCAAACTGGCCAATCGTAACGGTGTAGTCTTTCAGCAGGGCAACGCATGACCGCTTGTACGTACCTTGACCACTCGGCCAAAATTACTGGAATTTGGGCGTGTCGTCTTACCGCATCTTCCGTACAGTCCGGGTACCACCAGACAATCTTTTTTCATATCTCTGCGCAATCCTTTCGTATAAAATCTTTTGATTTTCTGCGGAACTGCGAAATGCACCCGAAACAGTTTTATGATTCTATGACTAAATAAATCTATTAGAAAAATGGTGAACCATTATAAAGCAAAATGTAAATATATAGTCTCTGATGAACGGATTTGTTTTTTGGAAAATTTTCATTCAAAAGCACAGTTCACTATGATTATGAGTGATCCAGATGATGACGAAAATGGAAGAGAAAATAGTGCAATGAAGGCGAAGAAACTGCATGAATTGGTGTTTCCAAAGTGAGAACAGGCTTCAAAAATCGCTAAAAAGAGGGAGGGCTGGACGAAAAGTGAGTTCAGAAAAACAAAGAGAATAGGGCGTTTGGACGAGCTACACAATACGGTCATTGAGTACGTGTGGGTCCTGGTGCGAAGAGCTGACTATGGTAAGCAACATTCATCCATCCATAAGCATAAGTTAACAAAAAACCCTAGCAACAGCAGAAATAGCCAACCTTTTTCAGCCCCTTGAGGTAGAGAATTAGTATGAGGATTGCAGCAGCAAAAAGATAACACAGAAAAAAGAATGGGAGAAGAACATCGCCTCATCACTCGGCGATCAGCTGATTGGGTCCTAGATCGAATAGTTGCAACCTGTATCGCCTCGACACTCGTCTGAAGTGACATTGGTCGAGGGGCGGGAAGCCTGCGCGAGCCGGAAACGGGTCTCCCGCTATGGCCTAACCGTCGAGTTTTTGGGCGCGAGAGGGTTCTCCCTATTACCCTTGTGGCCACTGGGTGTTCCTAAAAGGAGAACTCAGTAACCATCTTTATCGTGAACTGTGCCTTTAAAGTCACCTCGAAAATTGGCGGAAACTTCCCAGACAATCCAGAATATTTATTAAGGTCCACAACCGACAATTCATAGATAATCTACTAGCTTCGGTGGCTGTCGCGGAATCTGCTTCTGCGGCCGATATATTGGCGATAGTTCGGATACTAATTCCAACTTTTCAGCACAATAGTCCAAGATTTACAACTTGGTTCTCAACTTATCCATTATTTCAACTCTATTTTTGTGAAGCAACTTGACTCCGACATTGTTTCCTCTTTCATGCCAAACATGGGGGTTGCACTCTTAACCCATTGGCGACCGCGCCTTTTATACTGTCCTTACATTAGCTTTTAATTTCCCATATAACTGCAGTTGGAAGTGAATGATCCCTGGACCACAATGCCTCGAGATTCTCTAGAAGGCTGTGAGCTCAGCTGATACTTGAAAACATGAAAAAATTATAAGAACGCTTGATAAATAGTATAAATACCACGGGAGCACGATATGGTGTGGCCCGCCGACGGGCCACGCAGTCGTCAATGGGTTAATGAGCGTGAGAACTTAATGCAGTCCTCAAACTCAACATTGCCATTACGGCAACACCCATGCATCCCTCGTGCACGGCCCTGATGATAAGAATTCTGAAACGGAACGCGAAAGCCCATAACTTACTCTTTCGAGGCTTGTTTTCGACAATGATCGTGGCACGTGATCAAGAGTGATAGCAGGTGATGAATGATACTATTATATAACATCTTAAATTTGAAAAAATCTCTTGTTACTTTGCATGAGCATTCACAAATGAAAAATCAGTAACTTCCCGATTCAGTTTATGCCTTAAAATGTTGGATCAAAGGTGCTGAAAAAAAACGGAAGATGTGCTGAGCACTACAACTAATATTACGATTTTCACATAAAAAGTGAAACGAGCTCATCGTAAGCCGCAATCTGCCTGACTACAATTTTCATAGCAGATAGGAGGACGAATTTTGCAGAGAACGAAGTTTTTTGAATAATTCTTTCACAGCTCTATTATTTGAAAGTGATTTATTGAGCAGGGTTCAAGAATTGTTAGCAAGAGAATCGGGGGAGCATCGAGTAAGCGAAAAGACACAAGAAATAGACATACCTTTTCGAAGACGGGATCATGTCACTGTGCCTAGTTATCGAAGACGAGGGCTGGAATGAGTAGACTTAGGAGCTATCGCTTCTGGCTATTGCAGGTCACATTTTCGTTCAATATAGATGTCAAATAAATAAAAGCAACATGAGACATTCATCAAAATCCTAGTCCCTCGGTATCAGAGTGCTGTCTCGAACTCTACGTGGCCTTTCGCCGAAAAAACATTAACAGATCTTTGTAAACAGAACTATTGCAGAGCCTGACTAAATTTTTGCAGGTACTACAATTTCCTGATGAAGCTTGCACAGGAACTTCCCTACTATTAAAGTCGATGAATATGCACACTATCAGGGTCGATGGAACTACATACCTTAGCCAATGAAGTGAACGTATCGCCATCGTTCGATTCAATCAAGATCTTTTCCGACGTCTTAGACTCGTACGAAGGCCTCATCTGTTCAATGGAGGAATCGTCCGCGTTGTTTGGAACGCAAGTCAATGCAGCGGTCTGAACATTTTGTCCGAACTTCAGGTGACAGCTTTCAATTTTTTGAAGATTAGTTTAGCTAACTCATTGACAAGTGCGCCGTATTTTGGATTATCAATTGGTGAGTGGCTCTTGCTCCTTCAGGCCTCTTATATCGCCAGTGTTCCCATCGTGTCGTGAGGATCCACGGGACCAGGAGTTACGAACTTACGCTCAAACATTTATTCGCCCAAACCCCGCCCCGTGGGTGGAATCTGGTCTTCCCACACACCATTAATGTCCCCATCCTACTCCTCCCAAACTTGAACGCTCTCGGCACACGAAAATCGAAGTTATGAATTTCCTGTCGGACATACACACACACGCACACACATACACACAGAGATTAGCGCATCATAAATAGTAGGATCACCTCTAACGACATCGAATCTTCTGAACTCTTTGCTTCAACTGTTGTCGAGAGAGGTTCCGGAGCTGCATTGTACAACAAAGGAGCTTCCCGTTTCGCACGGATCTTTTCGCGTAAATTATCGACTGAAATGAACTCTCGGGTGGAGTAAGCATTACGACCAAAAAACGGCACATCTTCCTCTACAACTCAAGATCAGCAAGTAATCTATGCGACTTCAGTGGACAGTGCGACACATTCCCCCTATGCCAAACGAATTTGCCAAAATCTTACCGTATGAATTGAACGATTTTCTTGTAACGGTCTCCCTCATCGTCTGCGGGTAAGTGAAAAAAGTGTTGAGACATTCGTCAACAGTGACTTGAGACCTTAAACGACCAAGTAATTATAGCCAGTAAAGTAAGGGCAAGGGCATCCGAGGGCAATGGAGTAAGGGTATACGATGGAGCTTTGGTAGACAATAGGGCCTCAGGTGTCCTGATCTTTTCCTACATTAAAATGAGCTCAAGGTTTAGTGTTGAGGAAATTTAATGGTTCAGTTGGACAACCATTTCAAATAACGCCTCTAAGATATGAATTTTGCGGTAATCGACTGTTAATAACTGATCAGATAGCTTAATTGTGTAGTCAGAAATACCCCGACCACAACATCCCTAAGTTCGTGGTGATATAATAACTCTGTAGATAGAACTATTAGGTTGATGCATAATTATTGCGGATTTTTTCGCGGCTCTTTTTCTCTTGAAAGAATTTGACTTTCGAGTTCGGGTTTTTTCTAAAAATAATCT